CTTCAAAAGGTGAAGACGGCCCAGAGCCTACGGAGTTCTTAGGTGTCACCTCGTCGGCTGAAAGAAATAAAAAGGATAAAGAAAATACTCATGAACGGATTTGAGTTGTGCATAAATTTTAACTGGATGAAGTTGTAGTTGGTCCCTGGACGTCATGGAATTCAAAACCTCAGTGGCATGTCAACTAGGCGGCCAAGTCTTTTTGAGAGCGTAAAACGCTGGGTATTCAAATACGTTTTTCTGCAGAGATCACATTCAGTACGATGGAATAAAAGTCGACAAATGGCAGCATCCAGTCTTCCCTCAAAAGTACTATGTTGAACATTGTGGAATCAAGATAATTAACTTCTCAGTCAAGGAGGCTTCAGTACTTACGAATGAAAGTTAATTTCCTGGACGGTCACAGACCTCTCACAGGAGTGTCTCGTACTAGGGAGTATTTTGCCCACCCTGGAGCCCCACCAGCGATCACTCAGCTACTGGTATATTAAAGACAGAAAAATTGATGAGAATCTACCCAACAGTATTAACATTCTCACCTGTAGCCGACAGGAGAACGAGCTCGTGACGCATTGGGTTGGACTACTAATCAAAAAGTTGCGGGCTTGAGCCTCGGGATGGCTATGACTGACTGATGACTGCTAATACGTCATTCCCGTCTCCCTTGTCTTTGACGGTAAGGCCTTTTTATCTATAGTAACACTTTCAGATAGGCGGTGGGAGGGATACACGGGTTTGCTTTCGCTGAGGGGAGGCCCCGACAAACAGACAGACAGACAGACAGACAGAGTACACTCTTTGCCAAAACACACAACTTCTTGAGACAGACTGGATCCTCGGAGATTTTCGTGAAACTGACATCTTTGCTTTTATCAATAGGTGGTTTCCTATTCAATATAACACCATCCAAAAATATGAATGGAGACAGTGTGCCGCGTCAGAAAAGCCCTGGCAAAAGTAGGATGAAAATGGTCTAGACCAACATGGTTAACAGCCGAAGCGAATTTATAATACTGTCACGTTCGAACTACGGTCCATAACAAACCAGTGCTTTCCTCTTTCTGGGCTAATTATCTGAAGGTCTAATATCGGAGGAGACAGTTAACGTGCATACCGTCAGTTGACACGTTCTCATCCGATTTACCGTTTGCAGCGTCCACCTTCTTCTCCTCCTCATTCGCCCCAGCATCATCATCCTCCTCATCATCCCCAAAGGGGTTTGTATTCTGAGTAGACTTCTTTTTTTGCTCAGTTCCCTTTTGGCTTTCTGTAGCAATGGAAGCGCACTTGAGAGTTGCACCAGAAGCCACCTTTGAGAGGCTAGTCTCGAAAGCGAGTGTCCGTTGAAGGGCAAAGACGAGCAGAGTGTGCGTTATTTCGGCTCGCCGCCGTTGCATTGTGATTTCCATATCCTTGCGAGTGATTCGACAGAACTCCACGATCAGCCTGGGGAATGTGGGGGGGAGGGAAGGGTGAGCATTGCAAGATATTTCAGTACTACGACAAGGTTAGATATTTTAGCACGTCGAAAAAAAGACATGTGTAAATAAGTGTAGCGGATGGGATACGGTCATCTTTTAAGGAGGGTGCTTATAGCTAATGTTCAGGCACTCATCTGGGGAATGGAGTAGACTCTGCTGCTGAGGAAACGGCAGAGAGCAAAGCCCGCCCATTACGAAAAATGCGGACAATCAATTCACAAATTATGCTAGGCGAGGTCGAAGTGTCATTGAACGCGGAAAGCCGGCATTATCTTTTCACACGAAAAATCCCTCACTAGGAGGCACGACACCAAGAAATGACTGCGGAGGCAGAAGGTAAGAGTAGCTCACTGATAGTACTCGAATCTATCTACTTATCCTTAAAAAGTAATTCTTTATACGAATCACCTGAGCATACAAACAGGAAGTTCACTTATACGGGCTTGGACGAACAAAGTGAAGAGAATGTCTTCTTACCCGAGCTGTGAGCGTACTTTCAATTACTGTTATTATTTCCGGTCAAAAACTACAGAACAGCGATCGGCCTGACGAATGTGGGGAGGATTAAGTGTTTAAGGTGCTTTTACTACTGCGACGAGTTTGCAATGTGTAACAAGAGTAGTCAATACATGGACAAAGAGGCATGCGTGAATAAGTCAACCAAACGCACTGCTGTTGGAGTTATGAAAGGAAATGTGAAAAGAGAAATCAGACAACAGGACGATCAATTTTTTTCTTCGAAAAGTACTTCGTGAAATTAGTGCTGACTTCTGGCTGTCCAGAAACGAAACTGAGTTTGTGAAGTCGGGAATGACAGGGGTTTTAACATAAATTACACTCCTGTCGCAGCAGGCAAAATTAAGTACATTTTGAATTTCAAATTGACTTGTAAGTGAAAATAGCGAATGGTTTCGCTTACGTTTTACAGGAAGGCTGGGAAATTACCTTTCGAGAACAAGCCATTCAGGCGGGAAGAGCGCCCGAATCTTGCGTTCTATGGGCGTGAGGTTGGTTCGCAGCCAAGCGTAGCGGTGGTCAATCTTGTCCAACCAGGCGACAGCCTGCGAGGGTTCGTACAATTCTTGGTACTCGAGCAACTGGTTTGACACGAACCACTGCACAAGTTCCATTTTCGCTTTGTCAGTGGGTAAAAGATCCAGAAGGCGGCATCCTGCAAGGATTTTTGGCGCATTTTCGGTTACAACGCGTGCCGATGGGCCCTGCGTATTCGAAGTTAAAAGTGACATGTAGATGGTGTAATACGAGGTTCAAGACAAACAAGTGATGTGTATGAGAGGGATGCTTACGCTAAGCAGATCTTTCAGCTCCTGTGGTACACGGATACTGATATCCGCGAATATGTTGGACAACTCAGCATCCAATTCCTTTATTGCAGGAACCGTCGAGTAGGCGCTAAGCATTGGCTCCATTAGACGTTGGGCCCTGGCTAAGTTATCTTCGATTCCGGCAACAGTAAGGAGAGAAGGTGGTTTTTCTGTAAATGAATGAGAAGGCCTGTTATTAAGGCACTTACGTTGACCCTTAGGAATTGTGTGACTACTTAGTCAAACTTTCATTTCATGAGCGCCTTCTGAGTCAAGAACTTGTAAAAGGATGACAACTTATCAAGCTACGTCGTGACTCATAAGTATACTTACCAGTTACTATAACATGCATCTTAGAATCACTATACGAGCGGTCTAAAAGGCAAACTACCTGAATAATTTAAAATTGTCTTTAGGCGAAAACGCCCGACATGGGAGTGAGTCATATTTAGACATGGCCTGTGGGTGACAAGATAAGCAACCCTACTCAGAAAGTATGAGTGCGAGCATAAATAAAGTATGATACGCAGTTGCAGTTACGCACGACTCTAAAAATGCAAAATTCGCCCGCAGCAGGATAAAACGCTGAACTGGCTGGAAAAGCGAATGACGCTGGGATTTTCACTTAAAATTTTGAAACTAGACATACTGCAGAGATGCGAGTCGTGAGAATTACTTGATAATAAGTAGACGTAATCGCTGTGTTAGAAAGTTATTCGCCTGATGTTTTTGATTCCCGGTGGGAACCATCATCAGAGACCCGTTTCTGATGCTGTCTCTAACAATGGGCTCGAGCGGAAATACGAAACGTCAGGCGAATAACGTTTTATCTCAACGATCACATCTACTTATTTGCAATTGCGGAAACACATAAATAACACTTATCAGGCGTCAATAGCTACCTACACCGAAAGAAGTAATGACAAAAGCGTATCCCGGAGAACGTGGCACTAGCACCGCTTACCAAGCCTATTCCTCTTTATGGTTAAAGAATTCGAAGTAAAAGGTTCAGAAACTTGATATTCCGAGATGAATACACTTGCGAGAAAGTTGACAAAACGGCAACCTATCATTCTCAAATTTTCGACCTATGCTGTCTCAAAATCCCACGATTTTAAATTTTTCTGTTTTACTAATTGACTTCAAGCGAAAAGTACGCAATTTAAGAATTGACTAAATCCGAACTTTTTGTAACCTGCATCTGTGAAAACGTTATGTTTGAGGGTTTCTTTGAAATGCTGGGCAGGCCGCCAGAAAAAACGCACTGGGCGCCTTTTAAAAATAGACTGAATGCAAAAATACACTTAAAAACGGTCTGACATCATGTGGATTACTTGCATGAAGATCACGATAACCAATGTAAATAAATATACTCCTTCACACAAGAAAACTGTTTTACCTTTATCGAAGGGATTTGTGCTGGTTTCTTTTGAGGCGCAAGTGTTGATGCCAAGAACAGAGTTCAGTCTGTCGATGTCACCAACAATAAGAGCGAGATTGTTCAGAGTGGTTATTGAGAGGGTTAGATTCCTCTTCGCCTGATCTAACTGTTGAATATCACTCGTTATCTCTGCCACCATTCTTTCCGAAGATGTTGCACGTTCCTGTACTTCTCGGATTCTTAAAAAGCAGACGTAATGGGCAATAGACTTAGCGGGCACTGAAAATGAAACCATAATAGTTGTCATAAATTACAATAAACCGCCCCTGGAACTACACCATTTACGTGGCCGCGACCTTTGAAATCCGTCGCACCTGCCACCGGATGACATTTCCCCTGATAGCATGGAATTATGGACGTTTGATTGTTGTCTCACAAGCGGCCAAAGCGGCGTCACTCATACATAAACGCGTGTTGCGTGTAGAGCGCGAGCGACGTTTTTTTAACAGTTGATGAGCGGAATAGCTTGAGACCATTAAATACATGAATGCACCTAGTGTGAAGATTATTAATTAGACGCGCTTATTTGCTCAACAAATTGAATGAGCAGCAATAGGAATACAGTCAAAACCGAAATAGCAAGTACATTTCTGCTGACTAACTGGTTAATGTTATCAGGGTGATATTTGGTAAGTTAGAAAAAGGGTCAACCTAAAACGCATTCGTTTTCATATGTAAACATCATGCTTACTTTACAAATAAAGACTGTATCATTTGAGAGGCTTCACTGACGACAGCAGGACCCTGCTCTTCCAGTTTCCATTGGCCATGGATTATTTGTCGCGTTTGCTCGTCTATACTCTGAATCTTCTGTGCAATTGTCTTCATAACATCATCAATCGAGGAAAGAGATTGCTCCGATGGAAAAAGCTAAAGGTACTTTACATTATTTATGAACTATACCTCATTTATGTAGGCAACCTCATCAAAGTCAGCAGCATCTAACGGGTCAATGTCGATGTTGAAGTCTTTTAAAACCGACTCAAAGTCGATATTATCAAGTAACTGACAGTCAGATAGGGCGCCATCCTTGCTGACATCAGTGGACATGCTAGTGTAGACCCTACAGTTATCGGAAATTCCGCGTCGTATGTCCAATTGCGGCTTTTCAACTAAAGCTGGCAGTAGACAATAAGAACCCAAACTGATCGTTCACGTGAATTTCAGCGCAGTAGAAGTTATGCCGAGACCGCCGAAAGGTCCAAATAAATATTCAATATGTATCACTCTATACTTAGTACACCTTAGATAAAAATACCTGTTTCCTTCAGAATTTTAGGGTATTGGGGTAAAAATTGAAAAAAAAAACATATTTTGTCCGCGATCATGAGAAGACAAGGAAACACACGGGGGAAGCATCGTATTTATACAGGACAATGGAATAGTGAGCATCCTCCTCTCCCTTTGAATTAGTATGAAAGGGTTTAAAAAGCCAAGCTAGCCAGGAAGTAATGAGATAGCATTTTGAAATAAGGTGAGAAGCAGAATTGATTTTTGGACGCAGGTATCGGCCATTAACAGACACTGCATCAAATTAGAACCGACCATTAAGAAAATCGAAAAAATGTATGTCAGTGAGCGTAAACGGCAAAATTACTGAAAAATCCTTATTCTCACGATTGATTTGACGTCTTCTTAAGTTAACTGTGATTTTATGTACTGATAAATTGTGGAAAGATTTGCATCCACTCGTTTTGTAGTTTTGGTCCCCGTAAGAGAATAAGTAATGCCAAGGATTAAGTATGCTTCACTCTACCTTTCAAAACCCTAACCTGCTTTCATTTCGACTGCATTGTTTCTCAGCAATACGGAACTGCCCTCTACTTTCGTACAAGTTGTCCCATCCCTTTCTCCTGCTGGTCGGTTTCTTCACGAACACAGCCCGGAGTTCAAGTGTTCATGGACGCATTCGCACCCCCCCC